TGGTCAGTCAATGAAACCCTCGCTGATTGGTTGTACGTTAAGCGACAGCGACAAAAGTTGAACATTTTTCAACTTTCATGTGTCGCGTTGCATGCTCGCGTGTGCACGTCTACGTGTACGAGCGTGAAATTTCACATGCACTATTTTCGCCRGTCGCTTAGCTGGAAGAGGGCAAGCGATTGTTGCCTCACTGCACAGGCTCTATAGGAAATGAATGGAGAGCGAGTGACGTCGCCTCCCGTGTGTAGAGCCCTTGAGTCATTTCTACATTCTCCTCTCTRTCAACACTCTCTGGTTTCATTCAAAAGAGATAATCGTCAGATATTGTCGAAGATTAACTTTCAGGGTGGATATAGCTCGCTAGCAGCCTCGTAATGARGACCTWTCCACATCATCATTTACCCAGAATGATGACGGGGATAAAGCTGTGGGGTTCGTTTGATTTGTTGAAAGCAGCATCTGTTTAAACCTGTATCAGACTGGGCGACTTTAACGAGACCACAACAGAAAACAAGCAGGTTTCTCTTCTCCTCTTTTTTTTAAATACCCAAAATAGCGACACGGGCAAAAAGACGTTGGTTATTGTCATAAATGTCTGTCGGTTATTTTTCGGTTTATCGCCCAGACCTAATAAGAATTGTATTTCACTGCTTCCTGACCTTCATGCCAGACCTCCCGCTGTCCTCCTCTGTTCCAGGAGCTGGAGGTTCCTCGTCGTCATCGTCCATCTCCATTTCCACTTCCATAATCTCTTCATCGCTGTCAGGAGGCGGAGGGGGTGGAGGGGGCGATTCTGGGGGCAGAGGTGGAGGCGGAGGGTTGTTGGAGGGCGGAGGAGGGCTATCGGGAAGCGGGGGTTGGGATGGAGACCAGTAGGAGGAGGAACTGGGTGGTGGTGGTGGTGGTTGTGGTGGAGCAGCAGAAGAGTCTGCTGGAAATAAAAAAAATTGGGGGTTGATAGTTTAGCTGCATTAAATTACAGGATTCCTACTGCTTAAGGCAAGTAAAATTTAAGACTTTAAGACCCAATTAATGCCACTTATAATGAAATTTAAGACCAACTTTAAAACAAAACACAAATGGAAAGAACCCAATTAGCAACAATTTTAAACAAATATTTATTTTAAAAAAACGAGCTGTAAGAGGCATTCGGTCAATTATTAAAAAAAACAAATAAAAGTTACCAATTATTGTAATATTTGAGATGAATTAATCATCCCACGTACAGTGTGTTAACATTTTAAGACCTCTGAAAGATTGATTTAAGACATTTTAAGGCTAATTAAGGCCTTATTTTTGGATTGCTCAATTCAATGCCTTTTACAGAGTTCCTACAGCTTAAGGAAAGTTATATTTAAGACTTTTTAAGACCTCTTTAATGCCACTTGAAATTAAATTTAAGACCCAATTCACAATAAATAAAAATGTGGGGGAAAAAACAAAAAAAAAAAGGCTGGTGACAATTTTAACCAAATGTTTATTTTAACACAGAACAAATAGCTACGAGAAAAATTCTGTAAAAAAATTAATGTTACCAATTATTTCAATATTTGAGACAATTTACAATCATCCTACTTAAGAAGTGATAACATTTTTAAGACCTCCGAAAGATCGATTTAAGATATTTTAAGGCTAATTAAGCCCTTATTTTTGGATTGACAAATTCAATGCCTTTTAAGACTTTTTAAGGATCTGCAGGAACCCTAAATTAGGTGAGAGTTGTTTTTGACAAGAGACAGAGTTTCCATGACTCCATAAAACAAAAAAAGAGACAGCAGTTATAAGCCCACCTGCAACAGCACCAGCCGATCCAAATGTTTTGGGATCCCCTTGACTCAGAGCCTGCGTCTGTGTGCACGGACTGTCTTTGGGGTCCTCCTCCTCGTCCTCCTCTGTYGGGAACTCCCACTGGGAGACACCGGTCCGCTCCCTCACATAGAAATACCGCTTGTGCTCTCTAAAGAGTGGAACAACAGACATAAAAAAACAACGGTCTCAATGACTGTTCTTGAAACTTGCAGAGTGCCATGATACCCTGGGACAATGGGGGCAAGGAAGCAAACAAAAATGGTGAAAACAGGGAATAGGTTTGTTGGTATGGACGGCAATTTCAGCTGTCCAGAACAGGGGCCCAATTAGAGTGTTATTATGGGTGTGGACAGGGGACCCACCTTGCTCTCAAGAATAAATAATGTAAAACAAATCATCTCTAGGTCCTGAAAGTAGCTTTCAGCAGCTCACATCATGGTTGTCACATTTTCTTTGTTTTAGACAACCATTCCCTCCCAGATACAGGAAGAAACCAGGGAGGAAACACCACCATCATCATCATCATCATAAACAATCGTAGATCAGACAATAACAAACACACAATCAATTCATCTTGCATTAAAAAGAAAGTAATAATGAAAAAAACAGGAAGACATATAAAATAGAGTTGGTCTGACCTGCTGGATTCCCGTCATCGGTCCATCTTCACCTTCTTGACGATTGACACTTGTTGCTTCCAGGACACCATTCTTTCAGCTTTGCATTCTGGGTGTTGTAGTCCTGCAAAGTGCAAGGCTCCCCCCAAAAAACACCAACTCTCCTAACAAATACCCAGCCAATTTTTCTTTTTTCTTCTTCCTCTGAATGAACCCAAACTTAAGTCTACAAACGGCCCACAACAAAGAGCTTAAGAGTCAGTTACAGGGACAAGGAGTCCTTTCTGTGGCAGGTATATTTAACAGGAAGCAGGCTGGCTCAGAGTGGGTGCTCCCTTATTAGAACGTGCAAGGACCGTATCACAGAAACCTCAAGTCTATTTCTGGAAATCCGTTCGGTACAGGTTAAGCTTCTCCCCAAGTCATGTTACAAAGGCTGCAACCTYGGCACTGAGGGTGGGTGCTGAGACACCACAAAATGTTTGGGGTTGGGGGCGAGGGAGGTTATAGATGTGAAAGGTAAGGAGCGCGTACCTGTCCCAGTGGCAGGACCAGCCTTTAGGGGTGGCGTTAAGTTCATAATATTTTATGTGTTCAGCAGCTTCTTGCAGCTTGCGGCGAAGRTAGACCCCGTTCAGAGCTCCTTCCCTCCAGTCAGCAATCCGTGTCTAAAAAGATAAAACACAAGGGGTAAGATCAGGCATGGGCAATCCTGGTCCTGGAGGGCCGCAGCCCTGCATGTTTTATTCATTTAATTTAAAAACAAACAAATTCATATACAAAAAAATACATATCAAATAAAGTAAAAATGAAAGGTAGCAGAAAGAAGAAAAAATCTTATAATATCTGCCCCTACTTTTACTTGTTTCTCTGCTCCAACACACCTGATATGAATTAGATGATTATCAGCTTCTGCAGTACGAAGGACCAAAACTGACATAGAAATAAAAGCAGAATTACATGAACCACTAAATAAATGCACTAAAAATGCACCAATTAAATTAAAAAAGGAGAAATTTATCTCCTGTTTGATATTTTTATTGACTTTCATATTTATTTTTCCAGGTTAGTTTCAACAAATTAGTCTACATATTTGAACAC